TATGCTGTGAGTCATGAAATTCAATTAGGAGTTGAGACTAGCATTAGAAAAAAATGTTAACCAGTGAGTCTGGATGAAGGATTTGCAAGACTTATTTGTGCATATTCTTAAGTTTGAGATTCTTTCAAAATTAAAAGTAAAATAAGCTAACTATATTTACACAATACGAGACTCTCTGAGCACAAGAGGCTAGTAGGTTAGCTAAATGATATACCTATGTACTTCCTCACCAAAACAGTTGAGCTATATGCTTATCAAAAGTCAGTTTGGGGGTGCCTGGGTGGCTCAGTTGGTTAAGCGACTGCCTTCGGCTCAGGTCATGATCTCAGGGTCCTGGGATCAAGCCCCCCATCGGGCTCCCTGCTCGGCGGGAAGCCTGCTTCTCCCTCTCCCTCTCCTACTCCCCCTGCTTGTGTTCCCTCTCTCGCTGTCTCTCTCTCTGTCAAATAAATAAAATCTTAAAAAAAAAAAGTCAATTTGTATTTTTTTTTTTTAAGTAAACTCTCTGCCCAATGTGGGGCTCGAACTAATAACTCCAAGATCAGAAATTGCATACTCTTCTAGCTGGGCCAGCCAGGCACCCCTAGAGTCAATTTGTAATTCTAATATAAATATTTACACCTCTTATTATACTTCTGGACTTTAAATATTCAAACTAATGAAGTACAAATAGAAAGTTGTTTTTATGAAAACTAAATTGAAGGTGAACAGAAGTTACTGTAGAATTAGATGTGGGTAAGAAAAATGCATAAAACTTTGGGGAAAAAATTGTACAAAATCTAGACTGACTTGGCATTCAAACTTTTTCAAAGGTGTCTTTTAAAAATTCTTGCTGTATTTTGAAAAAAAATGAAACTGAAAATTGTAAACTATTTATTTTTTAAGATTTTATTTATTTATTTGACAGAGAGAGACACAGCGAGAGAGGGAACACAAGCAGGGGGAATGGGAGAGGGAGAAGCAGGCTTCTTGCCAAGCAGGGAGCCCGATGTGGGGCTCGATCCCAGGACCCTGGGATCATGACCTGAGCCGAAGGCAGACGCTTAACGACTGAGCCACCCGGGCGCCCTGAAAATTGTAAACAATTTAAACAGTGCAATTCATAATAAAGACACTGGGGTGCTCCAACCAACAGATTTCTTTTCAGATAAAAGGTCTTGGCCCTATTTCAAAGATTAGTGAGTAAATGTATAATGATACATTTGAGTCAAAATAAAAAGGTTAAGGTATATCTGCCTTTTTAAATGATCTTTACCACTTTTTAAATTAACCAGCCAACAACTAGTCCCAATTTCAATGGGAAAGAGAATCTCTAGTGTATTTTTTTTTTAACTAAAAAAGTGATACCCATGGTAAAATATTCTGATGGTACAAAATACCACACAATTAGGAAAGGTTTCCTTTCTTTATTAGTCTGCTAGGGTTGTTATAACAAAATGCCACAGACCAGATGGCTTAAACAACAGAAATTTTCTCACAGTTTTAGGGGCTAGCAGTCCCAGATCAAGGTGCCATCAGAGTTGGTTTCTCATGAAACTTCTCTTCCTGGCTTGTAGAAGGCCACTTTCTCAAAGTGTCCTCACATGGCCTCATCTCTGTGCCCATACATATGAACACCAGCCCTATCAGATTAGAACCTCACCCTTAAGACCACCCGCATTTAAACTTAATCACCTACATACAGTCACACTCTGGATTAGGGCTTCAACATATGAATTGGGAGGGGGTGAGGAGGACACAATTCAGTCCATAACATCACCTTCCATACTAGATTCCCAGCCCTTCTGGGTTTTTGTTTTTGTTTTCTTGTTTGTTTGTTTTGTTTGTGATGCTCACGTGGAAGCAGAGTCTACATATTGTTCTGCACCTTGCTTCTCACCTTACAGTAACATACAGAGATATTCCAAGTCAGTGCAGGTAGAGCTACTTCATCTTAATGGCTGTATACTGTTCTACTGAATTGGATATACCAAACTTATTTCCTATTGTGGGACAATTAAAGTTTCTTTCTTTTTTTTTTTTCAGTCTTGTTCCAAAAATCTTTTAAAGAATATTCTTAGAAAATGCCTTTATACAATTTGTGTAAGTTTATTTATGGGATCAGTTTTAGAAGTGGAATTATTAGGTCAAAAGGAACTTCGTATAAATTTTTGACATGTATTGTCACCCTGAACTTTAAAAAAATTTGTACCAATTTATACTTCCACCAAGTGTTTAAGAAAGCTTGTTCTTCCCACCTCCTTAGCCTCCTACCCATAATACCACATGTACATACCTCCAGCACTGTATTGTCAAACTTTTTCATCTTTGCCACCGAGCTAACAAAAGGATCAAAGTTTCAAATTAGACTCACAACTCAGAAATCAGAGATCTTACCTAATTTCAAGCTTCACTGATTTCAAAGACACCAGTAACCAAGGGTCACAGACAAAACAGGAAGAGGTCCAGGACTCTTGGTGCTGCTCCTCAGGTCCTTTCTTCCTTTGGATGCACCTCCACCCAAGAAAATTGATGTGGTTTCTAAATAAGGTATGCAGTCTCCTCACTTACACAGAAGGAACCAACTCAGTTATGAAACACATCTCCATTACATGCTAAGTTATATAACTTACATGATATTTTCCAGTCATGCACCTCAAATCCACAGATTTCTGCTGTGTTTACCATAAACAGTCTCAGTCCAGGGCTATCCTGCTAAAGGAATTCTATAGATATGAACTCTCCTACTAGGGGATACTAGTTTGTTTACCAGGAAGTCTTTTATTACCATATTTCTAAGAATCAAATGCTTGCTTGCTTTCTAGGAGTATTCCTCCATAATGGGAGAGAATGGATTGCAGATCTGCTGCTTAACTCCTTCCTTCCTGGTCACTGATAGATGAAAAATGGTATTTATTTTGATTTACACTTTGATGTTGAACAGTTGTTCACATGCTTATAATTGACAATTACCTTAGCAGACTTAAGAAACAAGAATCCTAAGCAGGCCATGAAGCAACCTGATTGGCATAGCTAAACCCTGCATAAGGCTCAGGAATTGGAAGTGCTAGGTAACTCTGAGCCTGATGTGAGCTAAAAACAGGAGGAATAATAGACAATTTGTTTAAGAATCAAATGCTCAGAATCCCTTCTCCAATCCAGTAGAAGCCCAGAGATTTAGTATTAGAAGAGGGTAAAACAAAAGATCTCTGGCTCAGAGGATACCACGCCCAGTTAAGACAGAAGGTCTGATGTTGAAAGAGAAATGATAAATTAGAGAACCAACATCTGAATAATTGAAACTCAAGAAAGAGAAAATAGGGTAAAAATAACCAAATAATTCAAGTTGGTGAGACTGGAACCCTGTTCTGACCCTATATCCCGTGCTACTTATATTCTTTCAGTTTATTGGTATATCTAATTCATAATAACTGTAAAATGACATTTTCTGAGCTTTCAAAAATGTTGGGGGTAGTCAAGGGGACTTTGTTCAGGTGATTAAGGGGTGGGACTAGCATTACCCCTCCCCTAAGCAATCATACCAAGATGGTTGGCAGAACTAAAGAATTACGGTTAAAACAAAACCAAAAAGGACGCCTTGGTGGCTCAGTTTGTTAAGTGTCGGGCTCTTGATTTCCACTTAGGTCTTGATCTCAGCGTCCTGAGATCGAGCCCCACCTCTGCTGGGGTCCCAGCAGAGCCTGGAATCTGTTTGAGATTCTCTCCCTTTCCCTCTGACCCTCCCCCACTCGGGGGCACGCGCTGTAAAAAATCTTTAAAAAAAAAAAAAAGAATTATTCATAGAAGCTATGCAGTGAGGTGCCCCTACAACTCGATAATCGTGTCGTAAATTGTGGTGTAAGAAGGGCTAATCCTGTAATTGCCTCACGCTCGAATTTACTAAGGCATTAAAGCAGGGAAGCACCCCATAACAAGCAGATTTACAGATATAAAATCAATTGTGGAAGAAAAAATAACTTTCGGGTCTGGGGTAGTCTCACCATCATGCCTAGGCAGAGAAACTGTAAGAAGCTTCCCTTCTAGGTCCAAGTCAGCCTGGGTCTGAGAAGTAGACTCACAGGTAGTAGTGAACTAGTCCAACACCAGGCTTTCGGAAGCTTCAGTTGAGAACCCATGGTTCACTGTTTCTCGGCATCGCCGGCCAGTTGAATCAGAATCTCAAAGTAGTGCCTGGGCATCATAATTTTTAAAGCTTTACAGGTGATTCAACTTTAGGTAATTGAGTTGAGTCATTGTCCTAGCAAGGCATCTTTTAATTTGTTACAATGTTTTGACTTAAAAATGCACTGAAACACTATCAACAAGGGACCTATAGGTATTAAATGAGAAAGATGCGTGTTACAAACGATAAGGGGGGGAGGGATTAGTAAAACAGTCCTGCTGGGGCCTGTGTGGGAGGAATGGATAAGTGAAACGAGAAAGTAAAAGCAAATCTGGAATTGGTGTTCTGAATTACTGTGCCCGGCGACTTCAGTATCATATGGTGAAAGAATTCAAGGGTGATTTCCCACCTGAAACTTGAAGGCTCCGGTGTCTAGACCTAGTTATTTTAGGTTAAGAAGTCAAGGATACAGGGGAAAGAACACCGAGCCCGCATCCTAAATCTTTCCAAAACAGCTGTGCAACCTCAAGTAAATCTCCTTTCCGGATCAGAGATTCCGAACGTCTAGAATGAGGAGACGGGATTAGCAACCCTCAGTTATCTCCCTTTTAGTCTAACTGCATCGATAAACAAGGGGTCACACATCTTCCGAAAAGGGCCCCAGACGATCCGAAGCTGTCCTGGAGCTGCGAACCACCCTCCTCGTTTTCTACTCGGCTTCTTTAGCCCAGGGGCATGGGCTGCGCACAGAGTATTACCTTCTAAACGCCTCCCTCAACCCCAACCCGGAGCTTGTACCCGGAACGCCACCCTGAGTGACTTCTCAGAGCTTCCTCCACCTCCTCTGAACATTCACAACTCCTGCCCTCCACGCTCCACTCGCTCCCCTCGACTCCCTCGACCATCTCCGCGGCCTGGGCCCGCCCCCTCCGCCTGGCGCCAGGCCGCGGAGCACCGATCGGCTCGATGAGCGGGGGCGCTGCTGCGGCGGAGCGGCAGACGCCGGGTCCGCGCCCACTCTCCCCCTCCCCGCTTTCTTCCTGCGCTTCCCACTCCTTCCCCCGCCCTCCCAGCGCTGCCCGCCCCGGAGAGCGGCCCGGAGCTCCCCCGGAGACTCAGGTACTGGCGCCGGCCGTCCCGACGGGAGGGGCTGATGTGAGGAGGAAGGAAACGGAGACGACGCCCCTGTTCCGCCGCCTCCCAACGTCCGCCTTGGGCTGCGGGACCGGCCGGTGGGGGGGGGTCGAGGAGGGACCCCAGACTGGGGAAACCCTGGATGCGGGCCGGGAGTCGTGGAAGACGACCAGGACTGGGGTGTGCGGATGGGGGGCGGTTGAGGAGGAGAAGAAAGGCAATTGAAGGGTGCTCGCGGGAGATGGGAAGAGAACAGTGGAGGGCGTGGGGCGGGTTTAGGAAGAGTGGGAGGTAGCCTGGAATGTGAGTGGGTATCTTGGGGTAGGAAGGACCAGAGTTAGGAGCAGATGTCGGGGGACGTGGCCTGGTGCGACAGATGGGGGTGGGGGAGGCGAGTTTAAAGTCACGGGAGAAAGAACGCCAACCCTGCTGCGTTTATAATGACCAGAAGGTGAGGTGAATCATTATAGTTTGACAGTTTTTGTGAATAACATCTCTAGGCTGTGCCCATCCAAGTCACGTATTTCCGTGAAACTGCACCAACCAAGACTGGTGATGGAGATGAGGAACAAGAGTCAGGGAATGGAGGCCGGGAAAAGGGAAACCTCTGCCCAGATTAAAGCTTCTTGTGAAACGAAATACATGGGGGGTTTAGTTTTCTGTGTAAAGCAAAAAAGAAGCCAACATTATTAAACAACAGGTTAGAAGTGTATTACATGTAAAGACTTTGAATAGAGAACTTAAACTGCCTCTTCAAAAAATATACACGAGATTGTAAACATATGATGATGAAATAAGCATATGATGTGACTTTTTTAAATGAATTATATATTGCTGTTCAGTTCTCAGAGTTGAAATACATCATGAAAGCTGTCTTACTTACATATGTACCCACACACAAATCCCCGAATTCATGTGTATTTTTTGCAGGAGAAATTTTAGGTAGAAATATATGCCTCATTTCTGAGCATTCTTTTTTTTTTTTTTACTAGTTGTTTGGCACAAATCATCAGTTGCTCTCTGGTTCATCAAGCACAATTAATCTTGCTTGATGTTTTGCTGATGTCTTTTCTGTTTGTCAGACACTGGTTTCTTGCCTTCAAGAGGCTGATCCTTGGATTTTAGGACCTGATGATGGGGTTTGCTCATCATTAAACTTGTAGCTTGACTGTGTATTTCATAAAGATGTTAAGTCTGCCTGTTTTTTGCCTTAGGGTATTAAAGCAGCCCCTTTGTTGGGTTTAAAATATAAATAATAACATGCAGGTATAATTGAAAAGCACAGATTTTTCAGTTGCTTCCTTTCTGATCTGTTTTTTTTTTTTCTGCATGCTATAACATTTCTGTGTGAATGAATTATTCTGAAATCAAAGTATGAGGAATAAAATGGGCCAGATGTACGTGACAGAAATATCATGGAATAAAGAACTCTAGAGCTGTTACTTAGGTAGCAAGAATTTGGTTTTTGTTACAAGTGGTTAAGTTTCTGGTTTGGAAGCATTTCTTATCAAAGAAAACTATCAATTTGTTTTGATAGGAGGCCAACTTAAAATATTACTTTTATTTGGTTTATGAAACTGGCCTCTGGGCTTGTATATAATATTAGCCAGCAAACCGATGTCTTATTATACTTAAAGATCTTAGAGTTGTTTCTTTTTGTGAAAAGGGGAAGAGGGCTGTTGGGTTGTTACAGAGAAGTGGTCTTTCTAGAACAGAATAGGTTCTGTTAATTTAATACATATTAAAACTGATCACAGATAGCCATTGATTAACTTGAGCCTGTGTTTCTGCTATTTTAATCAGTAGAGAGACTATTAGTTACTTATCTTTACTCAGCCTTAGTTCTTAGCTTCTTAGAGCCTTCTTTAAAGGAGTATCATAAAGACTAAAAGAAAATGCATGTAAATCACTGAGCACAGTGCCTACCACATAGTAAAAGATCCAGTACCTTAGCTATTCTCATTTTTCATCTATCTTCTAATCTAAGATACTGAAAACTCAAATTTGCATGTCAGCTTTTTCTCGAGAAAATTTGAATAAACTCCATACTCAAGCATTTTCCTAGAAAATCACAATGCATATTAGCATATAAAAAGCTATGAGACTTTCCTGTAGCAATAAAATAAAAACAAAATCAAAAAACCTGGCTCTGTTTAACCCACTACTTACTAAACTTGTCCCTTTTCTTGGAGCCTAGTGCTGTGCTTTGGAATAGGATGTTATAACTTACAGAATATTTTTGCATGTATTACCTGATTTGACCATCTCAACTCCATGTAGAAGCCTAAAAATCACTATTTTATAGATGAAGAAACTGAATCATTGTTTAATCAACTAACTAAAAATATGAAAACTAGGAGTGTACTGCTGTCTTCTGATTCCAGGTTAAAATCTTAAAGCATTTAATGTCTCATTTTCTCCTAATTTCCCCCTCTCCTAAGCAATCTGCTCTTGAATTTTGTAAAAACTTTCACTAATTTCCCCTACATGTTCTCTCTTAAAAGTTACATCCATTTTCTTTTTTAAAGATTTTATTTATTTGACAGAGAGACATACAGCGAGAGCAGGAACACAAGCAGGGGGAGTGGGAGAGGGAGAAGCAGGCTTCCCGCGGAGCAGAGAGCCCGATGTAGGGCTCGATCCCAGGACTCTGGGATCATGACCTGAGCTGAAGGCAGACGCTTAACGACTGAGCCACCCAGGCGCCCCAAGTTACATCCATTTTCTCATAGTTTTAACTATTTTTTATGTATTGAGGCCTGGCATGGAGGACAGGATTACCTGGAATGAAGCAAGCGGGAAGGCAGTGAAGTCCGAGAAATGAAGGAGGCTCCTTCATACAAGGTCTTGAACACTATTGAAGTAATTTAGCTTCTACCCCAAAGTCTCAAATCTGATGAAATTTATTTTCTCTTCAAGGTGGTGAATACTTATTCTGCTGGGAAAGAGAAGAGTACTTCTTGAGTAAAAAGTATGCCTCCCAAGTTTAAGCGCCACCTAAATGATGATGATGTCACTGGTTCTGTGAAAAGTGAAAGGGTGAGTTTAGAATCTTAATTTTTCAAACAGATCAAAATATGTCTTCATTCCTTTTGTAAATAATTTGTTTTAGAAAAATCTAAATTTTATGGCTTTATTCTAATTCTGTTTTTTCTTCATAGTAAATATTTTAAAGTATATGTTACTTAGATGGGTGACTCAGTTGAATTCTGCTTCCACTATTGATCAGATTATACTCACAGACTTTTCTAGTCTTTCAAAGTGAATTTTATACAAATACACAGCATCTTATTCAGAATTTGGAACCAAATATGGTTGGAATTCAGAGTTTTTCAGATTTTAAAAAGGTAGTTAAATGCATATTATATAATAGGCTTTTTTTTTCTTAAAGGATTTTATTTATTCATTTGAGACACAGAGATACAGAGAGAGAGAAGAGAAAGCATGAGCAGGGAGAGAGGCAGAGGGAAAGGGAGAAGCAGGTTCCTTGCTGAGCCAGGAGCCCGATGTGGGGCTCAAGCCCAGGACCCTGGGATCATGATCTGAGCTGAAGGCAGATGCTTAACCATCTGAGCCACCCAGGCGCCCATATATAATAGGCTTTTTGGCCTCTGGAGCAGCACCTCCAAGTATATTAGTATTTTTCAGAGAAATGTCTGATCATGGGGTGCCTGGGTGGCTCAGTCAGTTAAGCGTCCGACTCTTGATTTCGGCTGAAGTCATGATCTCAGGGTTGTGAGATAGAGCCCTGAGTTGGGCTCTGCTGCTGGGTGTGGAACCTGCTTAAGAGTCTCTCTTTCCCTCTCCCTCGCTAAAATAAAAAGAAGAAATATCTGATTACTCTAAGTATATAAGTAAAACGTATAAATAAATTAGCTAACATCAATTCAGGTCATGTTTTCCTCCAAATAAGTTTTGGCTCCAAACTTACAAAACCTCTTGGTTTTCAGAACTTTTTAGATTTTTGGAATTGCAGATAAAGAATGTTAGTTCTATAATTGTCTCAGAGTTCAGAGTAGTTTTTATATAACATTCAATTTCTAATTTATCCCAGAACATTCTTTTTTTTTTTTTAAGATTTTATTTATTTATTTATTTAGAGAGAGCACAAGTTGGGGGAGAGGCAGATGGAGAAGCAGGCTCCACACTGAACAGGGATCCCGAAGTGGGGCTGGATCCCGAAGTGAGGCTCGATTCCAGGACCCTGGGATCATGACCTGAGCTGAAGGCAGACACTTAACTGACTGAGACACCCAGGCGTCCCTATCCCAGAACATTCTATGCAGATATGTATAAATCTAGAAGTTATGCAGAATTTTGGAAGACAACATTTGATAGGAATGTTGTAAATAGATTACTTTTATAGTAAGTACTCAAGAAATATTTATTGAGGAAAGGAATTAGTGTTTTTCTTTTTTATCCAGCAACCTGAAACCCTCGCTCACTTCCTATCTCATTACTGTTCCTTTATTTACTGATGCATTTATTGACCACCTGCTATTGTGCTAAAAACAATCTCTGCCTGTATAGAGCTTATAATCTACTTGACTTCATTTTACACATTCCTTTTTTGTACAAGTTCTGAACACATATTATTCACTCTTTCCAACAGCTTATGATTTAAAAGTATCTTTTAGTACAATACAGGAAACATTTGTCTTTTCCTTATTCTAACTCTCTCTCGTTTGTTTTCTACTTGAAGGGGTAGAATCCACCAATAGACTAATTGCTAGGAAGCTTTTTAAAATAAGCTTTATGTATATACTTAAAATTATAAAATATAGTCTTAATCAGTTCTTCTGCTGAGAGTGTAACTGTGGCTCTTTCTCTTTACGTTGTTGGTTGATTACTACCACAATTTATTGTAAAAATAGGATATTGAACCAAAATTGAACAAAATTGGCTGCTTAGAGACCTCCTTTTGAATGTTTATCAGATGGTGAATTTTGATAACTGATTGGTTTAATTATCTATAAATTACTTTAAAAAAATTTTTTTAAAGTTTTATTCTACTTTCCTATTCTACTTTTCTTAGTAACAGCTTTATTGAGATATAATTCATATGCCATACAATTCACTCTTTTAAAGTGTACAATTCAAATGGTTTTTAGTTTATTCGCAGAATTGTGCAACTATTACCACAGTTAGTTTTAGGACATTATCATCATTCCAAAAAGAAACTCTGTACCTTTTAGCATTCATCCCCCATTCTTCTCATCCCCTCAACCCTAGACAACCACCAATCTATGGATTTGTCTACTCTGGACATTTTATATAAATGGAATCATACAATATGTTGTCTCTGTAATTGGCTTTTTGGATTTAGATCCTAATGTTTTTGAAGTTCACAACATGTATCAGTACTTCATTCCTTTTTATTGCTGAATAATATCCCAGTATATGGATATAACACGTTTATCCATTCATCACTTGATGGACATTTGGGGTTTTTTGGAATATTAATGACTTTTTGCATACCACTTCTGGCTGTTGGCCTTTTGGCTATTTGACCATTAAGAATAGTAGTGTTGTTGGGGCTCCTGGGTGGTGGAGTCAGTTAAGTGACTAACCTTGGTTATGGCTCAGGTCATGATTTCATGGTCATGAGATCAAGCCCTCCTTTTGAGCTCCACACTCAGCATGCATGGAGTCCGCTTAAGACTCTTTCCCCCTCTCACTCTGCCCCTACCCCCACCCCGTCTTTATGCACACACACTCTCTCTCTCTCTAAAATAAATAAATAAAATCCTTAAAAAAAAAAAATTAGCCATGCTGGGGTGCCTGGGTGGCTCAGTCAGTTGAACGTCCGACTCTTGATTTCAGCTCAGGTCATGATATCAGGGTCGTGAGATCGAGCCCCACATTGGGCTCCGCTCTGAGCATGGAGCCTGCTTGAGAGTCTCTCTTCCTCTCCCCCTGCCCCCCCCCCACCGCCCTCGCACTTTCTCTTTCAAATCTTTAAAAAAAAATAAAAGAAGAATAGCAGTGCTATGAATATTCACATACAGATTTTTACGTGAACATGTTTTCATTTCTCTTGTGTGAATACTTAGGACTGGAATTGCCAGCTTAGTTATTATGTTCAACCTTTGGAAGAATTGCCAAGTTGTTTTCCAAAGTGGTTACACAATTTTTACATTCCCACCAGCAGGGTATGTGGATTCCACTTTCTCCACATTTCTCCTGCCAGCCAGTTTCTCCTCATCACCAATTTCTCCTCATTAATTTGGTTGTTTAATGCTTTTGTCCTAAAATTCATCTTTGTATTAATATTGCTAACCCTAACATTCTTTTCATTAGAATTTGCTGATGTGTTTTTTTCCACCTCTTTTTTTCATCCTTTGTTTGACGTTTGTTTTAGGTGAATTTTTTGTAAACAGATTTGGCTGGAATTGTTGGACTCTAATCATGTGTAATTTTTACTTTTAATAGGAGCATTCAAACCATTCACGTTTGTTATGATAACTAATATATTGGGGATTTTTCTGTCTTAGCCAGTCCCTCTGCTGGCCGTGAATGCCCTTCCCCCTGATCTTTGGTTGGCCCTTTGTTATCATTTGGATCTCAGCTTAAATTTCACTTCTTGAGAGTGATTTTCCATGACAACCTAATCTCATTTAGTCACCCTGTCACTTCCTATCCTGTCACTGTTTCAGTTCTCAGCATAGCATTTGTCACCATCAGATATTTTTCTATGAGAGTTCAGACCTTGTTTGTCTTGTTTAAAGCTGGTGCTTGCCTAGAACAGTGCCTAGCACATAGAGATGCACAAACATGTTTATTAAATGAATATTAAATATATCCTGTTTTCATTTTCTCACTCTCTGTGATAATGTTATATATTATACATACATATAGTTCATTAGATTTCATATCATATGTTTTCCCTCTTTCCCTGACTGCTTTGGCAGATTGATTGTTTTTCCTCATCTTCTCCCCAACCCTAGTATCACTAGTTAAAAAAATGTCCTTCCTTTCTCTCTCTCCCTTTTTTTTTATCAACTTCATATTTTAACAGTTATGTTTAGGGATGCCTGGGTGGCTCAGTCAGTTAAGCCTCTGCCTTCGGCTCAAGTCATATTCCAGGGTCCTGGAACCAGCCACATATTGGGCTCCCTGCTCATCAGGGAGCTTTCTTCTCCCTCTGCCCTTCCCCCCGCTCATGCTCACTCTCTCTCAAATAAATAAAATCTTAAAAAACAAACAAAAAACCCAAAAAAAGTTATGTTTAAATCTGTGTTCTCTGTCAACATACCCAAAACAATGCCCCCTCTGTTGTTTTACTTTCTCATTCTAGCCAGCTTCCCACCTCCGCCACTCCTATCCCCGGTGAGGTGTGCCTCTCACTCTTACTTCTGCACTTCACCCTTCCTCTCCCGCTTCTAGGTTGTATTAGAACATTTGGGGCCCTTTTAAAGTTTTTCCTTATACCTTTAAAAACAAAAACAAAAACAAAAAAAACCCTAACACTGGATATTTTTTTATTTTTCTTTAAAGATTTTATTTATTTCACAGAGAGAGACAGCAAGAGAGGGAACACAAGCAGGGGGAGTGGGAGAGGGAGAAGCAGGCTTCCCGCTGAGCAGGGAGCCTGATGTGGGGCTCAATCCCAGGACCCTGGGATCATGACCTGCGCCGAAGGCAGGCGCTTAACGACTGAGCCACCCAGGCACCCCAACATTGGATATTTATTGTTGCTTTTATACGAAATATAAATGAATAACAACATTAAATAAAAGTACATGTGTAACAACATTAAAAGGGAGTGATAACCAACACTTTCCGGGTGGTGATTGCCTCTTGGGTAGAAGAGGAGGTGAGGATTAGGGAAAGGTCCATCGGAGTCTTCAACGTTAGTATTACATTTAATTTCTTAAGCCAGATGTTGGCCTTATACCTTTTCTTTTTCAATAGCTATAAGATATAGTTCACAGTCACATTATCGTTTATTCAGATTTGACTACACATTTTATTAGAGTCAATGATTGTATCAATCTCTTAGAATGTTTCTTCTGGGGGTGCCTGGGTGGCTCAGTTGGTTGAGCGACTGCCTTCGGCTCAGGTCATGATCCTGGAGTCCCGGGATCGAGTCCCACATCGGGCTCCCTGCTGAGCAGGGAGTCTGCTTCTCCCTCTGACCCCCTTCCCTCTCGTGCTCTCTATCTCTCATTCTCTCTCTCAAATAAATAAAAATCTTTAAAAAAAAAAAAAAAGAATGTTTCTTCTGATAATAATTGGGTTTTTTTGGCTGGTGAAATTCCTTGAGTAATTTTCTCAGAAAAGGCACATAGGTGGTGTATTTGTTTCCTATTGCTGTTGTAACAAATTACTGCAAACTCAAAACAACATAGATTTACCATCTTCTAGTTCTGGTGACCAGAAGTCCAAAGTGGGTCTTCCTGGGCTAAAATCAAGGCTCTGGCAGGATGTGTTCCTTCTGGAGGCTCTAGGGGAGAATCTAGTTTCCTTGCCTTTCCCAGCTTCTAAAGGCTGCCTGTGGTCTTTGGCTCCCGCTCCTTCCATTGTCTTTAAAGCCAGCAGTGTAAGATCTTCTAGCTCTTCCCCTCCCTACTCTTTCCCTCCCTGCCTTCTCTCTCTCCTTTCTCTCTCTTTCCCGTGCTCTCACTGGCACTTCTGCCTTCCTCTTTTGAGAACTCTTGTGATTATGTTGGGCCCACATGAATAATCATTGATCTTACCATCTCACAGTTTTTAACTTAATCACACCTGCAGAGTCCCTTTTATTTTTTTATTTTTTTTTTATTATTTTTTAAGATTTTATTTACTTATTTGAGAGAGAGAATGAGATAGAGCATGAGAGGGGGGAGGGTCCGAGGGAGCAGCAGACTCCCTGCTCAGCAGGGAGCCCGATGCGGGACTCGATCCCGGGACTCCAGGATCATGACCTGAGCCAAAGGCAGTTGCTTAACCAACTGAGCCACCCAGGCATCTCTTTGCAGAGTCCCTTTTAGCATGCAAGGAGACATTTTCACAGGTTTCAAGGATTAGAATGGGGATATCTTAGGGAGTTATTATTCTGCCTACAAGTTATATACTAAGTTCTTGTATGCTGGAAAGGTCTGGTTGTTGCAAGAGGGTGCGATCATCTTCATATTAAGGAAAATAGTTCCATCTTATAAAAAAGAAGTATAAAGTTGTTTTTGTTTGGAAGTTCTAATATGTGTAGAGGGTTATTTATGAACTGTGGAGGTAGTAGGTGGACTGTGCCAATTATTAAACCCTTATCTCCCACCTCTGAACATGTCTTCCGTGCTTCTCTCTGATGCTGGAGTCGGCTCTGCAACTACATTTCTCCTTTGCCACCTGGCTCCCTGTTAGGTTCTGCCTGTAGAGAGAGATTGGAAGAGGAAGGAGAAGGGACTTAACTTCTTCCTGATTGCCTATAGTTCCTTATTCCCACCCTGGCTTCAGTGACCTTTCTACCTTGTAGTCAGTCATAGCATCCTGCTATTATAAGCATTTTCTTTGGAGGGTGGGCATATGTGGCTCTTTTAGCTTACGTGAAGCACAGGTAATCACTCTTCCCTCTGTCTGGAACCTTGGAGTAAAAAAATTTCACCAGGATAGAACTCCCTTCATTACTCCTCCCTGACAGTTTGTAAGCCTTCTGAATCTGAAAACTCAAGTTTTGTTGTTTTTTTTTTTGACAGAGAAATCTTTTGGACGATGATTCAGACGAAGAAGAAGACTTTTTTCTGTAAGTTTTTTTTGTTTAACAGCCTTATTGGTGTTGTAGATGTAATTAACATCTAATAAAATGCTTATAGAGTAGATGTAATTAACATCTAATAAAATGCATATAAAGTATATGAGTTTTGATACATGTACTATACACCTATGAAATCATCACCAAAATCAAGTAAAGAGCATAACCATCACTTCAAAAGTTTCCTCATACCCCTTGGGAATCTCACTCCCCCAATCCCCAGGCAACCACTGATCTGCTATCACTATAGTTTGTATTTTCCAGAATTTTTTAAATAAATGGTATCATGCAGTATGCCTTTTTTTTCCTGGCTTCATTCACTTTGCATAATAATTTTGAGATTCACCTATGCTGTCACATGTACCAGGAGTTCCTTTTTATTTCTGAGAAGTATTCCATTATATGAATGTACTACAATGCATTCATCCATTCACTTATTGGTAGATATTTGGGGTGTTTATAGTTTTCGCTATCATGAATAAAGCTACTATAAACATTTATGTACAAGTTTTTGTGTGGACTTATGCTTTCAGTTCTCTTGGGAAAATACTTAGGAGTTAGTTGAGTGGCTTGTATATTTTTACGGCTGTTTTCCAAAGTGGTGTACCATTTTATATTCCCACCAGCATTGTATAAGAGTTCTAGTTGCTCTAAATCCTCATCAATACTATATATGGTCAGTGTTTTAATTTTAGCCATTCTTACAGGTATGTAGTGGTATCTCACTATATTTTAGTTTGCATTTCCCTAATGACAAATCATGTTAGACATCATTTTTTGTGTGTATTTGCCATCCTCATAGCTTCTGATAAAGTACATGTTAAAATCTTTTGCCCAATTCTAAATGTGTCTTCTTATTCAGTTGCTTATGTATTCACGATATAAGTTCTTTGTCAGGTATGTTTTACAGATATTTACTTTCAGTCTGTATCTTAATCTTTTCATTTTCATAACAATATCTTTTGAAGATCAAACTGTTGATTTTGATGAAATCAATTTATTACAAATTTTCTTTTATTGTTTTCACTTATTTAAGAAATATATGCCAAGCCCAGGTTCAGTAAGATCTTCTCCTGTGTTTTCTTCTAGGAGTTTTATAGTTTTGGCTTTTACATTTAGGTCTATAATCTATTTCAAGTAAATTTTAATATATGGTTGAAGTAAGGGTGAAGAATGAATTTTTTTTCTTTTTGGCGTATGGCTATCCACCATCTGATGAAAAGATTATCCTTTTCCCATTGAATTGCCATGATACTTTGTCAGTTAATTGATCTGATCAGTCCTTCACAGTTATGATTAGAAAGGGCTGTGTTCGTACAGGCTTAGATTTGTATTTGCAAAGTCAGGAAGGCAGGTGTATATTATTGCAGGAGTTTTCTCTGGAGATTCATGTAGAGGGGTGTGCCTGAGGAGAAACATTTGCCTCTCTCTTTGTTATAATGTTGCAGAGTTTTTGTAGAGGCTTTTGCTCCCCCAAATAAAAACATTTTATTAAATGTAATTGACAGCTGTGAAGCAGTGAACAAAAAAGAGCCTGCCAGATAGGAAGCAGATCCATTAACAGGAAATAGTATCACTTTGGCCAAGGTCAGATGAAGTGGCAAGATAATTTCCTACATGTGACAAGATTTCCGAAGAGTCACAAAGCTAATTGCCTTGGTGCCAATTATGGTGGAAAGCTTTAAAACTGGAGCAATAGCTGCCTCTCAGAAAGGAACTTAGGGTTGAACAGGAGGCCAGAAGCTTAAATAAGTGATTCCCTCATTGAAAGCTGGGTACCCTTGTGAGAAACACTCAGTCTTCAGACCAGCAGTGTACTGCTGGAAGTCCACTCGCAAATGACGTACATCTTTCAGAAGGCCTGACAGCCAGCGTGCACACTTGCTCAAAATGCACTTTCCACACACTGAGGTTCTATCTGGGTATTGAAAGGGAGACAAAACAAATACATTTTTTAAAAATTAATCAACACCCAAGTTTATAGCAGCATTATTCACAATAATCAAAAGATGGAGCAACCTAAATGTCCATGAGCAGGTGAATGGATAAACAAAGGGTATATCGATACAATTGATTATTAATCGGTCTTTATTACTCAGTCTCAAAAAAGAAGGAAATTCTCACACATGTTACAACATGGATGAACCTCAAAGACGTTATGCTAGGTGGAAGAAGCTGATCACAAAAGGATAAATTTTACATGATTCCATTTATGTGAAGTACCTAGAGTAGATGAATTCATGGAGACACAAAAGTAGAATGGAGGTTGCCAGGGGCAGGATGAGGAGGAATGGGGGAGTTAGTGTTTAATTGGTACAGATCCTATTTTTTTCTTTTCTAATTTTAAAACATTTTTTTATTTATTTTTTAAAGATTTTTATTTATTTGACAGAGACACAGCAAGAGAGGGAACACAAGCAGGGGGAGTGGGAGACAGAGAAGCAGGCTTCCCACAGAGCAGGGAGCCCAATGCGGGGCTTGATCCCAGGACCCTGGGATCATGACTTGAGCCGAAGGCAGACGCTTGACTACTGAGCCACCCAGGTGCCCCTAATTTTTTTTTTTTTTTTAAAGTAAGCTCTACACCCAACATGGGGCTCAAACTCACCACCCTGTGATCAGGGGCATGCTCTACTGAGTGAGCCAGGCACCCACCCTACTTTTTAAAATTTTTGTGGTCTATGCCTTATTCTCTGTCTCAAAGGAATGATAATTACTCAAAACATCCAGAAGTTTTTATTTCCAGAATATTAAAATGGTTGAAATGATATAACACTTAACTAATAAATAATTTGAGAAATGTTGGTATTTTCGTAGACTCTTCGATTTCCCTTTAGCTTTGTTGATAAGTTTAAGATGAGTAACGAAAAAAATACTAGTGTTTTGAATGGATTTTTCTCTGTATCCATTCCTGATAATCAGCATTTTATGATAACCTAATTCGAAGGTGAATTTACTTTTAGTGTTCTATAATTTATCATAAAGCTATTCCTAGTCACTGGCACTTGAGTTGTTATGGTGTTTCAGAGGTTAGTGATTAGAACAACCTGTGTATAAACAAAGGGTTATATAAACCCTATTTTCTCTGAAAATTTTAACATTCAGAAGAATTAGATTAGTTGTGGCCAGCACCAAGTACCAGTAAAGTACAGATGTGATTAAATATCATTCAGTTTCAGCAATACCAGTAAAATGTGTTTTTTCATAATAAATGACTAATCCATGTTTAGAGTTGAGCTTGATTGTGTGTCTTTTCTATTTTTTTTTTTTTTAATGCTCTCATTATGAATATGTACTTGGTATTTTGTTTTCAGAAGGGGACCATCTGGACCAAGATTTGGACCTAGAAATGATAAAATTAAGCAGTAAGTTCCTGAGATCTCATTTGCTTAAGTGATTATCATAATTCTGTGTGGACCCAGGGTTGGCAGTCTGCAGCCTATGAGCCAAATCTGGTTGCTGCCTATTTTTCTGAATGAAGTTTTATTGGAACACAGCCATGCCTGTTTGTTTTCTTATCTATGGCTGCTTTCAGACTACAGTGGCAGATTTGAGTAGTTGTGACAGAGACCTTATGGCCCAAAAATCTGAAATATCTATTATCTATCTGGCCCTTTACAGAAAAAATTTGCTGAGCCCTGATGTAGACTAACTATAACTACTGGATTGTAAAAAAACGAGTAATTCTTTCTATTTTCACAAAGCTACCTCTGAATAATGGCTAAGGAAATCCAATTCCTGTGTTGGTTTCTCTTAACTTAATTACTTTATGTCAAATCCATTTATTTAGCATAATCTCAAGGTCCATTTTGGTTTTAAGTCTATTGCTTGATTCCCATTTTCAGAATAAATAGAAGTAATATAGATTTAGGTTTTTGAAGTATAATTTTTTTATATTCCTCCAGAATTTTTTCATATCTATAACTTATCCTAATTCCTATATTGATCTAAGATTTATAGCTAAGTAATTTTTAGTTTAAAGCTTTTTCTGTATATGTTGGTGGTGGTAGGTTGATGGGTAATGCTGTAGTAAATGTATCTAATGTTAGAAGGATCTGAGTCCTGACAAGAAGGGAGAAGGAATGGGAGGAGCAGTGAAATAGCCCTGGAAACTGACCGAGTTTTGAAGACTAACTGTGGACGATAACTAAATGGCCTGGATTCAGGATCTAAGGAGGAATAGTCACTGCTCTAGTTCAGTTGGCACACAGTGGGAAGGGTGCTGTAATAGGGAATCAAGTTATTGGTCAGACACTTGGGCTTTAGTCAGGTAGCTGTTGGTGTGACAAAAAATGTCCACACTTAGCTGAATCCTAGCTAATGGATTCTGCAATACAGAACCAAGGTTCCCACAAACTGATTTGAGTGCTAGACAGGATGTTTTCATTTTCTCTTGCTATGTAACAGATTGCCCTGAACCTAGCACCCTAAAACAACATACATTATCATCTCACATTTTCCATGGGTCCAGGAGTTTGGTCACTGCTTAGGTGGGCCCTCTGCAACAGGGTCTCACAAGCCAGAAATCAAGGTGTTGCCAGGGCTGGGATCTCACTTGAAGCTCCTGATGAAGCTCAGGTAGTTGTTGCCAGAATTACTTTCCTTGCACATGTAGAACTCATGGTACCTGCTCCTTCAAGGCCAGCAGAAGAGAGTCCCTGCTGCTCCAAGGCTCTGATTTGGCCAGTAAAGATAACAATGAGCTACTTAGATTCAGGCAGTTCATTATGTACATAGACCATAAAAGGAAGAGTAGCCAAACTCTGGGTTCTTGTTCTACACACCAAAAATGATGACTCCAAAACAAAAGGGGCTGCACCGCTATAATAGGAGGTATAGGATACCCTGTTACAAAGGAGCCAATTCTGCACTGTAGCTCAGTGGTTTTATAGTCTGCAGATAAGGCCTGCAGAAAGCCTCCATACATCCTCAGAACCTGGGAAGTTGTAAGAAATTGTCTTGTGACAGTCTTCAGGGAGATGAGTGGGAGATGGCCGCACAAGCCATTCATCTTGTGTTCTGGGAGGATTAAAAAGCATGCAGGGTCATCAGGATGCCATGGCAGAGCTGTTTCTCTACACTGAGCCAGCGTGCCTTCTGTGTCCACCCACAGTTCTTACCTAAACCACCTGGGAAAGAGGACTTCACTGATGACACACTTGTTTTTTGTCCTGTCAGTATGCTTTGTTTCCTGTCTGATAATCCTTCTGCAGAGTGAGCCTAGTACTGAGTATGGCTTATTGAGTCTTTTGAATATGATTTTCCAGATGAACCCAAGCCACTGCTGGTTGTACAGAATGGTCATTGCAAACAAAGTATCTATGTTAGCAAGTGCCAAGCACATGCACACATGAATATATTTATGTACATATTAATGTAATCACAGAATTTTAGAACAGTAAGGGATTATTAAGTATAATGGTTCTTACTCTAGAGCTAAAGGCTTGCCAGACTTAGAAGGTGATCAGTCATCAAAACATATATATTCACCCTTGTGGGCACAAACTCATAAATGCGTATTTAACCAGGGCATGATTCAGTGTGTGTGCCCAAAATGGCCCAAGATGGCAGAGCACAACCTACCACACAGCTTGCCCATGGACAAATACCTGGCATTAGTTGAGTAACCAAAATTGGTAGCACTGGTGAGTTTCTTTAAGCTGCCTATTACTACTTAGTTTGTAACGTTTTAATACAGGGTATTTCTTAACCTCACGGATCAGTAACGTTGCTTTGAATTTGATTGGCATGTTGACACCAGATTATTCCCACAAAAAATACTCAACATCACTTTTTATGGAAGATTTCTTTTGGTGAGAGATTTAAAATATTCACATGCCTATGTAAAATGTATGATTCTCTTTGGAATGTTTTCTTTGTTTTTAAGTTAAATAACAGCTTTATAGATGCAGCTCTAGTGAATTACAGGCATTCTCTGTTAGGGGTAAGTAATTTCCTAAGTATAGTCTTGGTCCAGTCAGTTTAACTTCATAAAAAGGACCCCAAGGTATGTTCTATGATGCAACAGATATATATATATAGATATATAGATATATATGTATGTATATATATGTATGTATGTATGTATATATGTAGTTGCAAAAATACAGCATAACTTTAAACCTTCTTTTGTCAACACTACCTTAAAAAGCCACAAGATGGGGGTGTTAAGTATGAAAATAAAATATTTTCTTTAGAGTATTTGTTGCAGAGCAGGATTTTTTTTTTTCTTAAAAGAAGGGCACTGACATTAAGTGCATGCTAAGTGTTAAGCATTGTGCTAAGTGTTTAAAAAACACTGTTACATCTAATTCTCACAAGTGAGAGATGACCATTTTCATTTTAAAGGTGAGAAAATACGAGGCTCAAGGAGGCTTGCAACAGACACTACTATACCATGCAGTTTCCCTGTTGATAATTGAAATAGAGGCATTTCAGGAATACAGGTGCTGTCAAGCCCTAAGCATGATTTAAATCAACATTGAAATATAGCTTTTCCTTTCTGTATATCTTTATCTTTTTCTGGGTACATGCTCTCTTGTGTCCTTTCTTCTACCCGTATGACTCTCCTTTAACCGGAAATGATACAAATCTCCACACCCTCCTTTACAAACTTGTTTTTCCTTTGAGTTCTTAATTTTCTGTTTTAGTTAATAGCATTATCTCTTGACACTCAGTTGCTCAAATTACAAATCTCTCTACCCTTTTCCTGCTTCTACCCTTTTCTTGCCTCTACTTAGAGGCAAAAAAATAAATATATTCTTTAAAGAATAAAGAATTACTTGCAAGTAATCCAGTGCATTTTAAACATTTTTTTGAGTTGTAAGAACCATGAGTTCAGGGGCGCCTGGGTGGCTCAGATGGTTAAGCGTCTGCCTTCGGCTCAGGTCATGATCCCAGGGTCCTGGGATCGAGTCCTGCATCGGGCTCCCTGCTCCTTGGGAGCCTGCTTCTCCCTCTGCCTCTCTCTCTCTCTCTCTGTCTCTCATGAATAAATAAATAAAATCTTAAAAAAAAAAAAAAGAACCATGAGTTCACTTTATTTCTCCTTTTAAATATTTCACTGGAATGACCATTTTATGAAGTAATTTAAGGTAATTTTTGTCTAACAGAACAGAGGAAAATAAACACTTTAAATTATTAAACATTTCTGTATTTGTGTACTCAAGGTAACTCCTGAGTGAGAGTAGGCAGCTAAGAACCAATTAGATGAATGAACCAATGAAGATTTAGTCTTTATTAAACAGTCTGAAATTTGATTAAAACAGGCCCTCATCACCTAACATAAAGGAGGAAATTATATTTTCATTTTGAAAAACAGCAAAAAATGTTTCTGTTCCCTCTTGGGTGCTTCAGAACCTTCCCAGCTGTGCCCATGTCTTAAACCTGTTTGTTTAAAAGAAAACTGATGAGCAGTGAACAGTTAACACCCACGGAGCATCAGCGTACATTTCTGTTTTGGAAACTGAGTATTTTCATAAGCTAATCACACACCCAGGCAGACTCCTTTGTTAGCCTTAGTTTATAAACTACAGCAGAAGTAAGTTATAGCTGTGTCCGCGGGACGCCTCTGTAGCCTATGGAAAAGAAAAGGAAACATTATTTAGAGTCAAGCTATTTGACTAAAATCTGCAGTTACTGAACATTCTGACAGAAATTTGCAGGAACAGGGCTAAGTAAACTATCTTTAATATGACTTTTACTTACAGTATCTTTAATTTCCTGAGTGCTCAAGCCCACAAATGGAAGAACCGTGCTGCACAGCCTTAACTTAAACATTTTATAGTTGAATACTTGTCTGAAAACTTGCTATTTTCTATCATGGAAGTTTTCTGATGAAAGTTTCAAAAATTATAAAATGTTCAAAAGAAAAAATAATTTTTAAATCTTTCTTTTAAACTAGTGTTCAGAATCAGGTGGATGAAGTTATTGATGTCATGCAAGAAAATATTACAAAGGTAATTGAAAGAGGGGAGAGACTAGATGAACTACAGGACAAATCAGGTACAGATACTTCATATATTTCTCGATACTCTTAATTTGTGTTTTGATAGTTTATTTCTTTTCCCATTTCTCCAGCCAGAGTTTAGGAATCTTAGCTTAGGAAAATGATATTTGGTCCTTAATTTTGTGATTTTAGTATTTTAACTTTAGCTCCCTTTACTTGAATCATCTAATTGCATTAATTATCAGGTTGAAAATGGAAAAATTTTAAATTTATTGTTGAATAGTTAGAGTAAAATTTTTTTTGCCTTATTATGTTCATGTGCACTGTATTTCTTTTCTCATGATCTCAAGAAGGAAAAGTCTAATCACTTCTTTCAACACTTATGTCAAACTTCATCTGATATTTTTATCTTAGGCTTTCTCTGATAACAGTTAACATTTCTTTATTGACAGATGTTAGTCTCTGTACTTGTTAACAGTTGCTGGCACATGTTAGCTTCTCAAATATTGTTTTAGTGATGAATGGCTAAATACCTCACTCATCCTTGAAAGACTTATCGAACCACAGAACTTATTTAACCACTTTTAAAGTTCATTGTTTTATTTCAGACTGTTTCACAGTTTATTTATCCATTGTCCTGTTAATGTTTGAGTTGTTTCAGATTTTTTTCACTATTAAACAGGTTTATAGTGGGCATGCTTGTACATGTGTCCTTGTGCGCATGTGTGAAAGTTTTTTCTAGGGTATGTAACTAGGAATAAATTGTTATTTAGTAGGGGACAGATATTTTCAGCTTTACTAGATACTGTCAAATTATTCTTCAAAGTGATTAAATCTCTGCCGATTTATATCCTTACTAGCTATGTATGAGAGTTCCTACTGTTCCACATTCTCAATAAAACTGATATTGTCCCAGCAAAAATAAATAAATAAATAAAATTCATTGTTTTACTTCAAAATCAGTCACTTTTTGTATCTTCTAAGAATCTACATTTTCCACGTGTAAATTTTTTTTCCATAGGTGTGTCAAGTATTTGAATTTTTGAAGAGTTTTTTCTTACCAGGATTCATAAGTTTATGTGAAAGCATTGAGGCCCTGGGAAAAATGACCTACAGCTGTTTTTTGCCCCCCCCCATACAGATTGCCAGAGTTTGTGGGTGGAGGAAAGGAAAGATGTTGTTTTCATGCTTAAAAGGGAGTACATTTGCGGAAGTAGAAATTAATATTTTCTTGTCTTTGTGTGACTAGATAAAAGAATCCTGTTATGTCGTTTAATCCTTCTCTCCATCCTCTATGTGATATAGAAAGCTTATCGGATAATGCAACTGCTTTTAGCAACAGATCCAAACAACTTCGAAGGCAAATGTGGTGGCGTGGATGCAAAGTAAGTCAGAAGACAATGGATAAGTTGCCCAGCATCTCAGGTGGTCTTCAAAGAATAAAGGGCTACTAGATCCGAAGCCCTGTGAGGGCAGGGACTACCACTGCATTGTTTATTATAGCTTCTGAACTTGGGACATGCTGGGACTCAGCAAATATTTGTTGAATTAATTAATAGCTTTGGGGACAGGAATAATTAAAGGAATCAAGCAATTCCTAAAAGGATGTTTTCATGGATTTTGTCATAGAAAGTATCCCACATTTTATTAGTCATTTAGTTACTTGTACACTTACTACCTTGTAAGAAATATAAATTTTTCATGTAATTTATTATTAGTACCTTTTTGGAGCATCTTATAACATTACATAGAGATATTAAAAAGATGGAGTGGAAGCTAGAGAAAAATATAATTTTCTGTTGGAAGGGAAAAAATAAAAGCAGTTTGTATGTCAGAATCCATTATGAAAAATGAGGCTTAAAAAAAATCTCGCCACTACCCTTTATTATTCCAGAGAAATGTTTAACAAGGAAAAACATGAGAATCAAAATATACACTAACATATTTTTGCAAAACATTTTATAAAAATGAATTTACCTCTTAAATATGGCTACTAAGCCTTAAACAGAAAATGTTTAAGATTTTATAGTGAATTTCATATCACACAGCAATTTCTTTTTCTTCCTAATTCCATGTATCATTTTTGACTTTGTTGAAAATCTTAGACATAAACTCATTGTTTTTAATCTCTCATTTTCAAGTTTAGTGATAACTTTCTAAACTTGACATTGCCTTATGCTAAGGATTTCTTCCAAAGAGTTGCCGTGGTTTTACTTGTTTTTATCTGTTGACCTGTTGAATAATCTTACTTTCAGAAATAGAACTGAGGGAAGAAACACGTTTCATTGTTCCCCTTGTCTAGAATTTTAATTTTTGCTTAAATTTTTATTCTTTAAAGAATAAATTTCCCATTTTCTTTAAGTTTTCCGTTTTTATAGAAATTCTCTATAGCCTGGTTTGGAAGAACAAAGGGTTATAAGCCACTCACTTCCTTTCCCCATACATACACATGACCCATTCATGTAGCCACAAAAAGATGACCATAATGTGCATTTTGCTTAGGTTTTTTTAGCCATCTCTAAAGATTGTTGTTTTGCATTTTCTGGATTTCAGATCAGAGGAACAGTATGCTTTATTTTTTTTAACAGTATGTTTTTAAGGAGAAAAATTGAATTATATTTTTTAAATCATATTTGAATTATATTTCTAAATAGTCCCTATATCACTGCCATTTTCTGGTTTGACTTTGATGAGTTAGGAAAGGCTAAGGAAAGAGATATAGGGACAGAAAACAGAGGTTGCCAATGGCTAAGGGTAGGGAGGTGGATACTGACTATAATAGGGCATGAGGGAACTTTTTGGAGTGATGGAAATGCCTTGTGTTTGACTGATGGTGGTGGTCGACAGCTATACATTTGTCAAAACGCACCAAGATGAACTTAAAAGGGTGATTTTTATTCTAGATAAAGTATATTTCAATAAACCTGACTTTAAAAATAAGTAAATGAACAAAATTATCCAGTAGGTGAGGAGGGAGAATTTCAACATTGTTTTGTTATCATAATTAAAAATTTTAATAGGCACCTGGTGTCCAAATTGCAAAGCTTCCTTGTATTCTCTTGGTCACTTTGTTCTTGTCATAAATGCCACTAAAAATGTTACCAGTAGCTTTAGTTTAGAAACATTAAAGCTACTTCTGGTTGCTATTTCTGATACTCAAGTGTTTATAGTAGGTAGGTATCTTTTTTTATTAATGAACCATCTTTAATCAATTATCTGTGAAAATGTTTGATGAAAACAGACTTGCAAAAAAAAGAAAAAGAAAACAGACTTGCATTTGAATTCATCAGGAAAATCAAACCAATTTATAGTTTATGGCTTTTAGGATAAATGAGGAATGTGACAATTTTATAGAGAGAGATGTGAGCTGAAAATATTAAGCAGCTAAGGACTAATCTTAAGGTTTCTCTTCTCAACTGTGAAGCTGGCCAAGAGTGCTCTTAGGCAAGTTATTTATTAAATGAGGTTATTCACAAAGAATCTAAATTATATTCATCAAAATGGAGACAGAAATGCCAAGAAGAGAGTAAGGAACAAAAACTAACAGAATTCTCATATACTTTGAGAGTAAGTGCTATAGAAAACGCTGCCTTATGTGGAGAGAATGATTTGTGTTAGACACCTGTGTTACTCATCATATCCTTACACTTGTTAACAGAGTTGCTAAAATGTCATACTTTTCTTGGTCTCATATTAGAAATCAGCATGAGAAATCATAGACACAATGTTCAGGCCAATGAGGGCTTTCTTACTGTTTGCTGTGCAGTGCAGCCTTGAACAATAAAATCCAGGCAAAAACCCCTAAATTTGGGAACTCTGATTATTTATAAAAAGATGCAAATAGCCAGCAAATTCACGTGATAAAAAATTGGACAAGCTTTCAAGGGATGAGCCTATTCATTGATGAGTTCGTATGATGTAATAAGTAGCACAACAGATAATCTTGGCTTTATTAACAAGTAAAACATTAATACCTATCTTATGCCTTTTTGTGTGTTGTAGATAAAAGCCATCATGGCTTTGGTTGCTGTTATCCTTTTGCTAGTGATTATCAGTAAGTATTTACTGGATTAGTAATTTTGGGGGGCTATCATTTGTTTTAGAGGTCATTCTAATTTCCCTTTTAACTTATTTTCAGTTGACCTAGTATGACTAATGTCAGGTTTGAGTAATGACTTCTGACCCAAGTCAGGACCTCTTAACCCACTAGGGTCTGTGGATCTCTGAAAATGTTCTTAAGTTGTATGAAAAATTGTATGTGAATATGCATATGCACATTTTTATTGGGAGAGAGTCTGTATCTTTTATCAGATTCTCAGAGAGTCCTGCCTACTCCCCATCCCCACCCACAAATACAGGGCTAAGCTATTTGTTCCAGGCCCGTCTTCTGTTAACTTCAGGTATGGAAGCTTGTATTTCATAATACTGTGTTAGGAGGACAAGTCCAGATAAATTTTCTCCAGATGGTGGTTTTTTGTTTTGTTGTTTTGGTTTGGGATTTGAACTTTATTTAAATCATTAAAGCTTAACTCTTGTCCTTTCTTTTTTTCCATAATGTTCTTATTAAAGTCAGATCAGTTTTACTACTTCCTCCTCTCCAAGGCCTCTTTACTTGTGTTTACAGGGATTTTATGAAGATTTGTAAAGTGTCTCAAAATAACCATTTGAAAAACTCCATGGTGATACTCTCAGAAAAAGGTTGTTACAAAGAAATAGTGTTAATCCTCATTGTTCGTGGATTCTATGTTTATGACTTCACCTAAAACACTGATGTGTAAACCAGAAATCAGTCCTGGAGGTGCTTCACCGCTCATTGGCAGCTGTATCCAGAGTGGTGAAAAATCTGAGTCTCCCCTTGTGCACGTTCCCAGCTGACATCTAACGAGGCCATGCTTGGCCTTTCTAGCTTCAGCTCTCATAAAGTAAACAGGTGTCTTTTTAAGTCTATTTAGTGCCACATTTCTCACATTTTTGTGCATTTTGTTCGTGATTTTACTGTTTAAAGTGGCCCCCAAGCATCATGCTGACGTGCTGGCTAGCGTTGCTAAGCTCAAGAAGGCAGTGATGGGCCTTCTGGAAAACACCTGTGTTAGATAAGCTTCATTTAGGCATAAGTTACAGTGCTGTTGGCCAGGAGTTCAGTGTTCGTGAATCAACAGCATATATGAAAAGGTTATCTTTGAACAGAAAGACAAGGTTCTGTATTGATTGGTTGACAAAAATGTAGCCAGAGGCTTGCAGGAATTTAGCCCTGTATTTTCCCTAGCAACAAGGGTTTATTATTCACTAATTCAGTGTTTGTAGTGACTTTATAGAACATAACTACTGTAGATACCAAGATTCAACCATGTATTTATGGCGGATAATTTGGAAAATATGGAATAAAGCACAAAGAAGAAAATAAAATTCAGCTGTAATCCTACTATACAGAGATAGCCACTGTTAATAACTATCATATATACTTCAAGTTTTTTCCTATTAAGATATTAAGCATGTTTTTCAAAAACTAACATAAATACTTTCTAATAAATGTTTAATAACCTGGGAAAATATGTGTAACATTTAAAAAATATTGTAGCAGCTGTATGCTATGGTAATATCATAATCTATTTGATCAGAATGCTAATTTAGTGGCGCCTGGCTGGCTCAGTCAGTAGAGCATGTGACTCTTGGTCTCGGGGTTGCAAGTTCGAGCCCCGTGTTGGATGTGGAAATCACTTAAAAATAAAATCTTTAAAGAAAAAATGCCAATGTTAGACATTGTTTTATGATATTTTTGCTTATCCACTCCCATTTGTATCTTTCATCTCAGATAAAAGTTCTTTCCTGGGGCTCCTGGGTGGCTCTGCTGGTTAAGCATCTGACTCGATTTCAGCTCAGGTCATGATCTCTGTGAGATTGAGCCCTGCACTGGGCTTCGTGCTCAGTGCTCAGCGGGGAGTCTGCATGAGGTTCTCTCTCCCTCTTCCCTCCCCGCCCCGCGTGCACATGTTCTCTCTCTCTCTCTCTCTCTCTCTAAAATACATAAATAAATCTTTAAAAAAATAAAATAAAAAGTTCGTTCCTCATTACGTATTTCCAAAAGTAGACAGCTACATTTAGGAATATTGTTTTTAACATACCATCTGAATCTGATTTTGATATGTTCCATTTTTCACTTTTCTCTTGCAGTTCTTACAGTCTTGAAATATCGTGCTTGATTTGGTGACAGAGATCTTCATTACACAAAATTTGGGACAACAATAATAAAAGATTGCTGCGTAATTTAAATGAAACTTATGTATATAACTTTCAAAACTTCTTTTTCAAGAAACTAAGAGGCAAGTATCACTTCAAATTGGAGCATTGAGAATGTCCAGTTATCTTCTTCCCTTCTAAAAAAATGTGTTTTTAAAAATTATGTTTAAGGCAGAGATAACCAGCCTCTATTTTGCCATATTCCAAGGATCTAATTTGAAACTAGATACTTGCCAGTTCCTTGTTTGTACATGTAATTAAACAGTGATCACAATATTTCATACTGTTAATATAAGGACTTGTATTATTGCATCGACATGGGGGTCAAACTGGGAGTCCAGAAGCCTATGTAGAGTACCAAAACATTATGCTAAAAACATGCATAGCCATTCCATCAATATTTGCAAGATTCTTCTAACATTACAACTGCTTTGCAAGCAATTTCCACATGTTTATGGGTGTAACAAAAGCTAAATGTAAATTTTGCTGCCTTCAGCTTTAACTAAAACATTCCAGTAAACCTATTTTTGACTGTAAAAGGGAATGTGTAGTAATTTTTTGGCATATGGATTATTTAAATGGAAAATTTAAACAATACAAAAGGCATAGTATGGCACCATAAAACTGGAGATAATAAAATTATTGGAGAACATCATTGGAGTGTTTGAAAATGAACAGCATGGTCCAGTCTGTTTCCAGTTAGCCTCCAATAAGGAGGGTCCAGACCTAATGTGAGTAAATGAAATCCACAGGTAACTTATTCTCTGATCTTATTTTCATTGATAGCTTCCCTCTTTAACTTCAACTAGTCCCTCTACCAGATGTGCTCAAAGTAGCAAAATCATCTGCTTAGCATTTGCTACTTTTTCATTCCCTGATTATCCCCCGAGAGATGCATGTTGTACAATCAAGTGTCGAATTAGCCAACAATGATGAGTATAGAAAGTCGAGATAGTCATGCATCATTCAGTAACCAAATAGCTAGAGTCACCATTAATCTAAGTCTGTTTTTACAGTAATAAAATGTATTGTTAACGTTAAAATGTGCCAACCTCCTTGTGTTGTCTAAACAAGACAAAGTGAAAAGACAAAGTCCTCAAATGTGTTCGAGGAGGAAGCTTTATAATAAAATTGGAGGTTCTGCAGAAACTTGTGCACATGGATATGTTGACTGTATATACATATAAAACTAAATTTGAAATATGGTTAATAGAAGAACCAGTATTTAGTTAGGAAAGAAAAATGATCCTGTATAGGTTTTATTTCTTTGGTCATTTTAATTCAGAATGTCTGAAACATAGAATCTGTTTTTTGTTTTTTTTTTTAATTCTACAGGATTGGTATTAAAAGGCAAAAATGTTCTGTTTAAATGGAAAGAAATATGAAGGGAGAGAGCACATTAGGAGATAACTCAAGACACCTGCAAGTTAACACTAAATTTTATAGTCTGATAACATTTCAAAAAAGATAAAGGTCTTACATACTATGGGGTATTGTCACTGGTCTCTCTACTCTTCGTAAATGTCAATGTAAATAACATAATAAATACTCAATCCTTTGACAAAATAGGATGCCCAGGAAAATGAGCATTTTTAGAATCTGAGTAGCTAATACAGTTCAGGAATGGAAACGTTTTAATGGGATGGACAGAATTAATCCTAACATACATATGTATGTCTTTTATTTGGGATTGGCACTAGATTCATCAGTGGTTATTTTTCTGTTGGTTGAGGGAGAAATCTCGTTTCTCCATGATTGCAGTGAAGATGAAGATTATTTCTCAAAAAGAATTCACGTTTCCAGTGTTTCTTTTAATAAAGTATTCCACTCTTAAATATAAAAAATAAAATTATAAAATTGTTTTTTTAACTTTAACCATAAAAAAATGAAGTATTTATATGACAATGTCGTATATATGTCATTCTCTTTGTATTTAAATATATGTGGCTGTCGGAAATACTGGTGGCAGGCATGTCTGTGTTCTAGTGGTGGCTTGGTTCAGTTTATCCTTTTGTCTTTCTTGGTCTTCATTAATCCTGAGACCCTTAAAATGGCTGGCATGTTAATGACTTTACTCTGGTAATCTTAAAGATACGAGCCTTCTTACAGTCAAAAACAAAAGAAAAATACGTTGTTCAAATTGATGTCAGGCCTACCTTCCTTCCTTCCCTTAATCATTCTTTTTCTCATTCAGCTCAGATCATCCTGCACTTGAAAAATGAAGTTTTACCACTATCAAAACTATCATTATTTAACAGCAACGAAGATCAACAGAAAAATTCAAGTAGCTTTGTAAATACTAGTTGGTACCCAGTGAAATCAGGTCACTATTTTTATAATCCCTGAAACATACCCTTATGATTTATGTTTAATTACTGAAGCCTATTGCCCTGTAGCAATTTTGTGATTATAACACTGACTGATTAACTCCTTCTGACTATAACCCAGTATCACCAGTTGAGTGGTCTTTTGGCTTCTCCATCCTGACAAAGCTCACTGAAAATTGCACTCCGATTTTATGAACTTAGGGGTTTCTTGATTCAAAGAAAGCTCAATATTGAAAATGGAACATTATCTAAAATGGAGGAGGGATAATTAGTACACGTCAGATAGAGAAATACATGGTATTTGCGCTCCTGCAGATCACTTACCATACAATCGCTCTGCACTAGAAGATAACTTCAGCATTTCTACAGCAAAATTTGATATCGTTCAATTCTGTGTAGGAAGAATAAAAAATTGAAATTTCTCATTCTCAGTACAGTCTTCAACATGCTTGCTGCCCTCTCAGCTTTGTCACCCACACTTACTCTATCTACACCTGTATGTCTAGACACTGATTTCTAGAAAACATGCAAGAAATTGTTTTTTCGTGTTGGGAAGGGATGCCATTAGAAGAGGTCCTTAATTGTATCGAGTCAGAGTATTACGAAGTCAAGGATAGCTAACTTCTCTTTCATTAGTCTAATTTTGTGTTTTCACAATGGAAATGTGATGGAAGTCAATTTTATTTTTCTGTGAGTGTGGAGTAAGGGCATGAATCAGTCCAAGAGCATTTACACATTTGTTTTAGAATGCATTGTAGTGCTTATATTTGTGCAGGCACTGAGTCCTAAGGAGCTGAAAGATGCCCTACTTCTCAATCTATCCACTGCTTTTAACATGTAGACAAACAGAACCATACATCAGACGGATGTGGGGCTCCGGCTGTCTTTGTAAGTTTGATTTGGTCTTCCTCTGACTTTTTCTGAAAATCGAATAGAGTAAGGGATGGGGACACAAACTCTTTGAATCTGTCTCCTGTTTTATTATAAGAAACTGCTTGGGGGGCAGGGGGAACAAAAGAAACTGCTTGGAACAGGTCAGTAGGAATTGAAAGGAACACATGACCGACCCAATTAGAGTGGGTAAGTGTAAGCTTGTGAAAGCACAGGTAATACCATATTTGTGTGTCTCCACAGCACCCAGCACAATGCTGTGGACCTGGCAGTTTCTAGATCAGTGTGCCTAGGAAACCACAAAGACAAGAGTCCGCTTCCATAGTCCTCACCACAGAGAGGACATGATCACATAATATGGCCTTTGGACTTTACCAGGAGATAGTAGTGCTCTTTGAACAATAATTGGGTATAGAAAAATTCTGATTTTATAGTATTCCATCAGGTTCTTTTCATTTGAGGAAGTCTTAAATAATGATTTGATTTGCAAGGCTACAAAGTCAATTGCATATCTCGAGATTTTAGTAAAATGTTAAAAATCAAAGTATAAGAAAATTCGATCACTTGACTTATGCTTTGGATATGTGTCGTTTGAAATTCCACGCTCTTCTATTTAACCATTTTGAAAAGTGCCTTTGCTGTTTTAAGATGTATGGTGGAGATGAGCAAATGTAAAGGTTGTGTGCCCTGTTCTTTAGCTTCTCCGTTCCTTATAACCATAACCATTCTTACCGGTGTTGCAAAGTTTAGAACCTTGTGTTCCTGTCAGCTATGTATTTGTTAGCCCCTCCATAATAAAGAGTAAAATAAACTATTTCATAGAAAACAAAATTAAGTACTTTGGCTTATTCAATATCAGTTACTTATTGCCTTCCCTTCAAAGCGTAGCTCACTTAAAGTAACACCTGGCTGATACCCTGATTTAACCTGTTGCAGCTTCCCAACAGAGTACACGGTGGGAGGAGGGGGCGAATAAGAGAAAGAAAAAGTACTCTATCACCAAAAGCCATGCCCAATGCACAACCCATTGATGGAATCAAGGAGGAAATTCTCTGTAAAATCACTGAGTCTCACCTGTGGAAAAAACAGTGGTGGAATACTTGGGCTTTACCTGTCATATCTGCTTGAAAGAGAGGAAGAAGGACACATTCTCTTAGACTTAGACATCCCAGTGAGAAAACCTGATGTAGCCCTCAGCTGCCTGGCGCTACTTTTAGAGACAACCAGAGTGGTGGTCATAGTCTTCAACCTGCCTCCACCTACCTACACACTAAATTTCATCTTTCTAAAATCCTCCAAAAAGGTGTGGCAGGGGGATGATTTGGGGGGCAGACTGTACCCTGAGATGTAAAGTGCTGTAGTTAGGAATGGAGGTGGGAAGCACCGTGGCAACTGCATTCTGAAAACGATAGTGTTTAATCCAGTCATCGAATGTGTGAGAACCAGTCAGGAAGGTCAGATCCGTTCCCGAATCCCACAGATTCGTCACACTTCGCGAATGCCTATTAAATGCTAGAAACTACTGTAGGGCGGGTGAGCAGCAGACTGCCTTTCAGCTGCAGGTATAGGAAGGGTGCTGACTAGTCGCCGCGTATACAACTGAGCAGGGCCAAGGGCCGTGCACTTACTTACCCTATGTATTGAATAATGGGACAGGCCCTTGTCTGAGTCGTCTTGGACGACGCATGTGGGATCTGTGTAGTAAGGGAAAGAGGATGTCCTCTTGGATCCTCCCCAGCCACATACAAATAGGCTATTTCTACCTTCTTAATAACCCCAACCAGCTCTTCCCCCAACTCACCCTGTTAGCTTCCACCTCATCTCTCTGCAACGGTCTTTGGAAGACTTTGCCAATGTTTGTGGTGTGTGGTTCTTTTTCCCTCATTCCCTTAAATGGGTCAGCTGAGCCTTTGCTCCCACCCTCCACCAGACTTACTCTTGTCAGAGTCACCATGACCTCTGCATTGCAAGATCCAGGAGTCCACTCAGGCCTCCTTGTCCCACTGCGGCAGCCTTTGATGTGATTGATTGCTCTCTTCTAATCCTCGCTTCCTGGGCTTGATGCCTTCCTACCTCCCTAGTTGCTCTTCTTCTCCCCAACTCTTAACCTTGCAGTGCTCCAGGAGTCCGCTCTGGGTCCGCTCTCAACACACATCCCCCCTGGAAATCTTACCTCATCTTAGACTTTGAAATGGCATTTATGGGCTGACGCCCCAAACTTATGTCTCCCATTTGACTTCTGAATTTAGACTCCTCTAATATTCTACTTGACATCTTCATGATTACTCATTTCAGATTTAGCAGGTCCGAATCAATCTTCCAATCTGCTCCCCCAGACCTACTCTGCAAGCATTCCTTCCCATCTCAGTTGATGACAGCTGAATCCTTCCACTTGTTTATGCCAAAAGCCATAGAGTCATACTCCATTTCTCTCACAACCCACATCTAATTGGTCAGGAAATCCTTCTGGTTTGACCTTAAAATACAGCACAACGGGCACCTGGGTCAGGCTCTGCGCTCAGCGGGGAGCCTGCTTGAGATTTTCTCTTTCCCTCTGCCCCTTCTCTTGCTCTTTCTCTCTCCCTAAAATAAATATAAATAAGTCTTTAAAAAAGATACAGCAAGACTCTGGCCAGTTCTCATGTCTCTGCTGTGACCACCTGGTCCTTGGCTTATCATCCTCTCTCACCTACAATACTGCAACCGCTTTCCAACTGGTCTCCATACTTCTACCGTTCCCCCTCCCCGTAGCTTGTTCTCAACAGACCATGGACAGGATTCTTTCAAAGTGTAATCAGACCATGTCTTTGCTCAAAACCTTCCAATGACTTTCCATCTTCTTTAGAGTAAAACCCAAAACCCCTTTGGTGGCATGTAAGTTCTCTCATGATTTATCCCAAGTTCCTTTCTGACCTCTTTGTTCTCTGCACTGCGGCCTCACCAGCCTCCTCACTGTTCCTCAAACACACCAGGCATGGTCCTGCCTCAGGGTCTTGTGCCTGCTGTGTCCCTGCCTGAAACGTCCCTCCTCAGAGAGCTATGTGAACGATTCCCAGGTTCCAAGTCCTTGCTCGTTCCAACTTGCAAAGAAGTCTCCTTGAGTCACCATCCAACCCGCCTCTATTCTTCCAGAACAATTAACCTTTCTAACGCTTTGTAGTTTATGGTCTTTCTCCATCCATCCAAATGTAAGCTTCATGAGGAGAGAGGTTTTTGGTCTCATCTGTTCTCAGATGTATCTCATACTACTCACTAGGGACAGCAAGCGTCACACTGAGTGCTCACATAGTTGTTGAATGGATGAGTCGATTATCCTGAAGAAGCAGAGGAAGACCATGATTTTGAAAATGATGTATTACAGGAACTAAATGAATGTTTAGAGTACCTCGGCACCCATGAGAAGATGTAAGATATGATCTCCGTAATTCAGAAAGTGAGAAAGAGGGAAAAGGTGAGATGAAAGAAGAATTAAAGGAGTTGTGAAGGCAGATCAGCCAGAAGGGGAGCAAGTTACAATAAGCAAGGATTGACAAGAAACAAATTGCAACTCAAATACTAAGCGCTTTACTGAAGAAGGAAGTAGAACTAACTAAAGAAAATCAGAGCTATGGAGAAGAGACTCAAGAAGCCCTCACAGAACACAGATGAAAAAGACCAAAAATGTAAATGGAGACAATGGTCGCAGCTCTAGGAGACAGAAACAGCCACCACTAAGAATGGGACAGTGTTGCTATTCCAATCAATCCAGCAAACTTAAACTTTGAAAAAGTCCAATGGGACAAAGGTTTTGTCTTATATCTAAGAAAGGACCTATTAAGATACATTGCAGCAGAGTATATAAATCATAAGATTCAAGAGGAAAATCCTGTAAGTATCGAGGCAGAAACAAAGGCCACTTACAAGGAATGAAAAAGTAGGCTTGCCTCAATATTCTCTAACACTAAATTCTAGAAATTCTAGAACGCTAGAAAAACATCTATGGAGTCGAGAGGATTGAACTATGACTCAAGGATTTTATAGCCAGGGAGTTATCACTGATGCATGAAAACCATACACACACACACACACACACACACACACACACGCCATTAGAAACATGAGGGCCCAGAAAATAAAATATTCTTGTCTCTTTCTTGAAAAAAAAATTTTGGAAAACCTACATGGTGCAGATAGCTAAGACAAATCAAAATTGAGAGTTAAAAAAAAATCTGATCATTCCACTCTTCTACTTAAAACCCTTTCATGGACTCTTCGTGTTCTTACCATAAAAACTAGACTCTTGGTCCCATCAGTTGCTGCCAGGATGGCATACCCCATTTGAGTCTCCACGGGTCACAGCCCACTCAATCCCTTTATTAAAGACTCCTTGAATTATTTTAACAAAGGTGTGGACTGGACTTAGAGAAACTACAAGGGGCAGTGCAACACCTGGGTTTGAAGGGATGAGGGAAGGGAGAGGTTACCAAAACTTGGAAGGAGAAAGTCACATGAACAAGGCTATATTGGCTTTTGGTCAAGGGAGGCTCAGCCAGCCTAACGTGATCTTACAGGGAGGAAGCCTGTTGCATAAATACCCTGTTCTTTTTCCATGTGATCTGGTGCTAGGGCTCCCATTAATTTTAAACCCAATTAGAAAGCAGAGGGCAAGGAATCCCAGTGATATAGTCCATGAGAGTCACCATCTAGACACAGGGTGGGAAGTGCATCTGATGCCCAGATCCCATTCTTCAGCTACCATGGCTTTGGCTGTTAATGGCTCAGAGTTGCCCCCTTCTCTGGAGAACTGCCCTCAGCCACTGGGAGCCACCTTCCTGGAGGTTATGTTCCACCCCTAAGGGTATCCTAGAGCCAGTGACTGACTGATACTGGGGTTCAAAAGGCTGACCCCAATGTGTCAAGGTGGAACAATTCTATATTGTAATACATGCTTCAGAGGCCACACAGACACACACACACACACACACACACACACACACACACACACACGCACACACACCCTTAGATCAGCCAAGACCAGACTTTCCCTGACACCCACATCCTTGCTTGGCCATCTCTCCCTTCCTTATCCTGCATCCCTTAGACCCTTGGAGGCTTTCTCCTAAAAAGCACTCCCTCAGCAAAACAAGTGGACCCCAATCCCTGGGTCCAGATGTTTCTAAACAACCCAACTAAGATGATTGGTACTAGGAGTGCTCCTAGAAAACAGATTCTAAGGATAGGAATGTGGAATTAGATCACCATTGATAGGAGGACAACACAGATCTCCTCGCTGGAGGTACCAATATTGACAGTCCCTGGCATGCAGTAGCAGGTACAGTTGCTAAAATGTTCGCCTCTCGTGAAGGGGGAGGGACACTTGTGAAAGAGAATGCGTATGTTTATGCAATATCTCTGGCATTTGAGAGCAACAGAGGACAGAGTAATTATGAGGACTTTGGAATGGAAAGCCGACTGCTGAACAGCATCCCTAGCCCTGAAAAAGGAGAATGACAGGTGCAGGGCAACCGAGCCTGAATTTAAAGCAAAATGTGAGAATTAGAGGGTCTCTTTGGATGTAAAGAGACTTTCATTTCCTGAAGCTCGGAAGCAGGAAGAGTTGAAGACCAAGCCCAGGACTTACCCAGAAGAGTGAGAGCACTTCACAGAAGGATGAATTAGCCGAAACAAGTCTCCTAACACCAGAGTCAGGGTCCTGGTAGGTGAGGAATAGGACCTAGAGATTTGGGATGGGGATATCTGCATAGATGCACCTGAGACTCTGGAGTCCTCAGATGTCCCAGAACTTTCTGGGCCTGCAGAAGTGGCCTAATGACCTGTGTTGAAAGATAAAG